AAAACAATGCAACATATTTAGAGAAGGGTCTTATGACATGAGAACAAAATGAAGTTGAGAACTGAAGGATCCCAGAATGTTATTAGATGAAGGATAGCATAAGTAAGGGCGCTAAAACAGAACAAACAAAACAACAACAAAAACTCTGCCTACTCCAAAAACTAAAGGAATTCTGGCGGTTTTGCCAAGCACAGGAAGGAGAATGTTAAGAGATGGGCGTATCTGGATAAGATGATATAAGGCAAGACACCAAAAAAAACCCCAAACCACCCTTTGTTCAGAGTGGAGTGGGAAGCCACTTAAAGGCAGTAAGTACAGCCTTTAAGATCAAGGATAGCAGAAGCTACACTGCATGTGTGTGCAGCAAGGGTCCCAGGGAACTCTGCATACTATTTGCTCAATTTTTCTGTGGATATAGAACAGTCTTTTAAATAGTTGTTGTATATGTGTGTGTTTTGTTTTTTGTTTGTTTTGCTTTTTTGTGGTACCAGGAATTAAATTCAGGGCTTTTGTTGGGTGCTATCCTAACACCCCTCACCCTTTTTTACTATTTTTTATTTTGAGACAGGCTATCACTAATCTGCTAACTTGCCCATGCTGGGATCCAATTTACAATCTTCCTGCCTCAGCCTCTGAGTCCTGGGATTACATGTATGTGCCACCATCTCCAACATAATCTATTTTAAAAAAAGTTATTGCAAGAATCCAAAAGGTGATGGTTTGTATCAAGCAGTGAGGATTTAGGACTTCAGACAATGTAGCTAGCAAGGAGAAAGAAAATGAGTATGGAGTAGTGCAACAGAAGTCATGATGATAGAATTCCAAGTCTGGTCAAAAAAGGTAAGCTTGTCAGAAGTGCATGCTGCTGCGGGTGGTAAACAACTGCGTACCAGGAAAGCCTCCTTTGAACTTGGCATCAAGAGGGTTGCTGAGCAGGACAAGACCGGCTTCAAGGAGTGTCCGGAAAACATTAGACTGATATGGGTTAAAGGGAAAATGAGGACTCTACTCTGCGGAAGCAGCAGCAGGTATTCCATAGGTCCAGCTGCTGCAAACACATAGTTTCTCCATGGACGTTACCTTTCCTACTTCGTTTACATGTCGGGAAATTCTCAAAATAATCACAAGGTAAGAATACTGAAGCCATGAACTTCTACCTTGAGCCAAGAATCCTGCCAAAGTGGCATAATTATCTACTTCTGCCAGATACGACTGAAAATGCCCATATGGGAGGATGAAGACTGTTTTTAGATGCTCATGTTTCCATAAAGCTAGAACAAACATCTATAGATAATATATATATGGGTTCACAAACAAAATACAAAACATGTAAATAAACAAACTCTGAGTGAAAATCAGCATTGAAGGCTTTGACCCCCAAGGGACTTCTGGCTGTGAAATGATTAATATAGACTATACAACAAAAATGTTATGAAACAGAAATGGAATCACAAAAATACGCAAGTGATACAAGATTATAAAAAATGGCTGGGCATGGTGGTGCATGCCTGTAATCCTAGAACGGAAGCTGAGGCAGGAGGTTAGTTGGGAGTTTGAGACCAGCCTGGGCTACAAAGTGAGCTCAAGGCCAGCCTGAACTGCATAGCGAGACCCTGTCTCAAAAAGACAAGAAGGAAACAAACAAATAAAAAAGATTATAAAAAATGACAGGTCAAATTTGGGAAAAAGAGAACTAAGGAAAATTAGGGGAAAAATTTAAAGTTTAAAATTCCAGGAATGGTTTAAAGATCAGATCAGACAGAATTACCAACACTTTACCTATACAACTTGGCATTATAGTACTGTGGATTTGATAAAAAATATTATCCATCAGTGATTTGGATAAGAGAGAAGCGCAAAGTATATTTCCCCCGATATAACAAAATGAGCTAGGCAGGTGGGCCGCTGCCATCGCGCACATGTGACTTTATCTGAGCTCCAGCAATGGTCCAGGCCTCCTCAGCCAGGGCTCCAGGCAGCTGACTAGCAGTACACATTGCAGCCCATTTAAAGGAAGAAACAGAGCGTTAGAAAAAACAATTTTATATTGCTAAAATGTGACTCATAAATGGTATGTATCATTTCTTTTACACAAGTAGTCGAAATCTAGTGTTACAGCAAATCTAGTGTTACAGAATTCAATGTTTCTTCTAACAGCAGAAGAAATTGCAAAATTGATCCTCAAGCAGGGTGGCCATTTCCAGCTAACACCCAGGAGAGAGACTGTTTTACTACAGTAAAAGAGAAATAATAATTCCCACAGCAGCTCAGAGTGACAGGGAGACAGAAGCCAGGAAAGAGAACTTTCAGAATAAGAGCAGAATAAGAAGTTGTAACAGAGCCCTGGACTGTCACAGAAAAAAAGCTGGAAAATGTGGAGGGAATAAAAACATTGAGGGGAAAAAGGCAGGGATTTCTGAGAACAGAGAAAGAATATGTCCTTAGAAAAGTGAAATACAAAATATATAGTGAGAAAAACAGAACAGTTCCCAATTAGATGTACTGTAGTGAGGACAGATACTAACCAATACTACTGTAGTGAGGACAGATACTGACCTTCTTAAAGGAAAACAGAAAGGAGATGACTTACAAAAGAACCACAAGTCCTCTGACAACGGCCTTCATGTCAACAATGGGAACCAAAGAGCGGATTAATTTGCTTAATCTGTGAATCTAGAAACATATACACAGCAAAACTACCTTCCAACGTGGATAAATCAGAAGTATTTACAGATATTTCAAAAGTTTCATTGGGCTGGATATGTAACTCCTGGCAGAGCACTTGCTCAGTACGTGTGAGGCCCTGGGTCAAACCCCAGCACTGGGGTTGCAGGGGATGTTTATCAAGCAGAGATCTTCTGCAAGGACTCATAGAAAAACAAATTGATAAAACATAAGTAAATCAAAATACACTTGTCTGTATAAAATGCTAATTATGTTACAACTTGTTGGATTTCTTATAAAGAATAAAACCAAACTGCTGGAAAATGATTTCTGAGTTTGAAGAGATCAAAGTTAAAGCTTCATAAGGCCCACTCCATCATTAGGAAAGAGGATCGACATAGTGAATAGTATCAGATACATTAAAATTAAGTAAAGTTTAGAAAGTAAAATCCTTAGGTGTGGACCATTCTAACTGGTAAGGCAGAATAGAATACGATAGCAAAGAAGCAAATATGTCATCAATCAAAAAGAACAAAGAAAAATCAGTTTACTCAAATATTAGACGTGTATGGTACAGGCCAGACACTGAACTTTTTGAAACAAAATTAAATAGACATATATGACTTCACTTCTCAGAAAGCTTTTTCATATGCTCCTGGGCATTTTTCTTCATCTCTTTCAGTTTATATTCAGATTATAATCTTGCAGCACCAATTAAATGAGATTTTCAGTAAGACTATGTATGTAACTAATATGTCATGGAGCCTAAAATAAAATTAATAGTTAATTTTAAAAAAAGAATTTTAAAATGTTAAGCCTACCAGTCTTCTTCATTTCACCTTACACTGAAATGAAGGTAGAGCTATGAGAAAGTGTACTCAATGTAAAATTAGGACTTGCCGTGGTAGAACTCACTAGGATGTTTCTTGAAAAAAGCTTAAGTCACTAACTGACAGAAGGAATCACCTTGAGTATTGTGCCAAATGCAATCTAACAATGGTTTACATCAATCAGAACTAGAAAAAAAAAAGGAAGCAGACCATAAGGAATAAAAATTGCCTAAGATTCTTATACTATAATGTGCACTTACTAGTGGGATAGTGGTTTATTCTCAAATTCTACCACGGAATGCAAAATTATACAAGGCTATCCAACTGCTTTTATTCTAACTGCATTTCTGGAATTAAAAATTAACTTTCTGTATATCAGCATTTTCCAAAAATTCTTGCATTGTTACCCTCATTATGGGCAAAGAAGTCTTGATTGCTAATGGGAATCATTGAGAGGTGAAAGACATTCAATTAAATGAAGAAAATTTTGTTCCCACACACAAGTACTCCTGTCTCCATTGGATGTAGCTACCGAGGGGAAAAATAAGGAAATTTAACTATTTTAGTCTAAACACTTCATTTAACATGAACTGAGGTTTTGATTTGTTAACCTAGATAATGACAGAGGGGTAATTCAAAAATGTATTTTGATTCTTTTGTCATCAAATTCAAATTAATATCCAAAGGCACGTATGTTTGTATTTACTAAGCTTTAAACATTATGTGTATTGAAGTAAATGCTTTAAATTGACATACAGTGTGGGCTTTCAGAGTAGCAATTTGCACAAATGGGAAACAATTTTTGAGTAATGCAATTTTAATTTGTATTAAAACTTGTTAGAACATTAGGTTAATAAGGCCAAAGACCTGGTTTGTAGTTCAATTAGTCCAATTAGCTATTCAAACTAACATTTATGACACCACCACACATAAAGGAAAAACAAAAATAAAAACTAAATTAAGAGTAAACCATAGTGATTAAAAAAGGAATGCTATTTGCTATTTTAAAGCTGCTGCTTCTTTAAAAAGTACATATATTTTCAGCATTGTTTGAAAAGCTCCTTCTAATAAACAAATTATTGCTAATTCCGTGGCTTTAAGAAGTCTTCCAATACGTCATTTCCTCTAGAAAAATCCCTATGTTCATGATACTGGTATGCTGCTAATGTTCTTTTTGTTTGTTTGTTTCTCATTTACTACTCTCCTTAAAATTTAAAAAAAAAAAAAAATTCCAAAATAAAATTTAAAAAAAGAAAAAAAAAAAAACCAGAAAATCCCAGACTCTTCCAGTCAACTAATTTGCAAATTTACCCCGGAGTGGTGGTGCACACCTGTGACGCCAGCAATCAGCAGGCTGAGGCAGGAGTACTGCAACAAATTCGAGGACAGCCTGAACTATATAGTGAGCAGAAGTTCGGGCTCGACTACACAGCAAGATCCTGTTCAAAAACAAAACAAAACAAAACAAAAAACCTAAACAATAAATAAGTAAATAAAATTTGCAAATTGATAATTGCACAAACCATTTTAATTTAGTACCATAAATAATTACATTTTGACTTAAGAACCACAGGTGATTTGGTGAGAACCCTGCAATTCTCATTCTGTAAACTACACATTCAAGTAGTTAAGAACAGAACACTGTCAAAGGAGAACTGGAGCTTGAGCTGGGACCTCAAACTGGTGTCCTCCCAAACGCGATTATCACGCACTGCTCTGCAGAGCTAACAACAGGTCCGTCCAGATGCTAAGCCCAGGGACTTCGAAATCGCCATCCTGCGCTTTGCAGGCCTCCAAGGCAGTTAGAAGCTTGTCCTTCAGAGGTGGAGGAGCCTGGCCGAGGCTCTGAAACCTGTGGAACAACTCCTCCCACGGGACGTCCTGGGACTCAGCTGCAACCCAAGCGCCTTTCTGAAGGTCATAGTGCAGCTTTCGACCCCAGTCGGTTAACAGACCTAGGTAGGCGCGAAAGAGCGCAGGATGGCGAGCCGCCACCGAAGTCAGAAGCCCGGCTGGGAGGCGGCAGAAGGCAGCCAGGACTTCCGATCGCTCCAGAAGCCATCGAACTAGCAGGTGACTCTCCTCTCCGGGCGACTCTGGACGGCTCGGTCCCGACTCCTCGTCCGGGGGCTGCAACAGCGCCACGGCCGTCACCTGCAGAAAGTGGTCCCGCGGCGCGCGCGTCCACAGGCGGCCCAGCCACCCGCCGGGGTCCCCCGCCTCGGCCTCCCGCAGCCGCCCGAGCAGCAGC